AAGCAAAGTGCTAATCACGCAAGCAACATGTTATCAATGTGCTAAATCATGCTAGAAACATTCTCAGAACATGCTAATTCATGCTAGCAACATGCTAAGCACATGGAAACACATTCCAGCAGCATGTTAAAACATGCTTGCAATGTGTTAAATCAAGCTATAGCAACATGGTAAAACATGCTACATCATGCCATCAACATGTTAAATCATGTTAGCAATGTGTTAAATAATGCTAACAACACGCTAAATATGCTAGCAATGTGCTAAATCATGCAAACAGCACGTTAAACATGCTAGAAAAATCATGCTGGCAACATGTTATGTTAGAAACATGCCACCAATGTGCTAATTCATGCTAGCAACATGCTAAATCATGCTATCAACATGTTAAATTATGCTAACAGTGTGATAAATCAGGCGACAACATACGAAAACATTCTAGCAACATGTTTAATGCTAGCAATGCCTTAAATCATGCTATCAACATCCTAAAACATGCTACCAATGTGGCAACATGCAAAAACATGTTAAAAATCATGCTGGCAACGTGTTAGTAATGTGCTAAATCAGGTTAACAACATGTTAAATCATGCTGGTAACATGCTAGCAATGTGCTAAATCATGTTAACATTTTATTGATTTTGAGTACAATCTTCAAGCTTTTCAAAGTTTAGAACTTTCAGACAAGGCTTCAAACTTTACTCATCTAGCTCATACATTATTAACAAATAAGGTGAGCAATAAATTCACATTAATCAGATTAGTTATAAATTAATTAAATTAAAAACATTTTTAAATGGATGTACTCACATCCTCTCCTTCATATCGTTTCTGTGGGAACTCTGGGACGTATTTTTGGACAGGAGCATCTAGATCTATCTTGCCGTCTTCCCAGAGTCTGGCGACGGTGGCTGCGGTCAGAGGTTTACTGATGCTGGCGATTCTCATCACTGTGTCCGGACCACAAGGCACTCTGTTCTCCAGATCTGAATAGCCAACCCCTGAGAGACAACAGACACAGCCAGCGGTCACTTTCTGAGCTACTGTTCTAACACAGGCCTCAGGCCTTCCTGGGGGAAGTCGTGGCCTAATGGTTATGGGGTTGTGGGTTGTTGGTTCGAGTCTCGTACCGGCAGGGATTGTAGGTGGGGGGAGTGAATGTACAGCGCTCTCTCCCACCTTCAATACCACGACTGAGGTGCCCTTGAGCAAGGCACCGAACCCCCAACTGCTCCCCGGGCGCCGCAGCATAAATGGCTGCCCACTGCTCCGGGTGTGTGTTCACGGTGTGTGTGTGTTCACTGCTGTGTGTGTGTGCGCACTTTGGATGGGTTAAATGCAGAGCACTAATTCCAAGTATGGGTCACCATACTTGGCCACATGTCACTTCACTATTCACTATTTTTTAACACAGGCCTCGAAGTGAGTAAAGGACTGGTGCACTTGGATGAGGACTTGTGGCCATCACATAAATGTGTCATTTTAAGCATGCATGGATTTTCTAAATCCTACAGTAGTGCAGACTACCCAAGAGCCTTCCAAGCATCAGTGTGCGGTGGGAGACTTCCTACCTTCACACCAAACATGACTGCCATCCACTGAGACTCCGATAACCATCCCAGGAGCTCCAACTTCATCCTGCAAAATTATATGACTTGTCTGTAGGCCATAACTGAACTATAACTGAACTATAAATTTAAAATGAATATATATGAGCAATATAATATTGCATTTATACAACAGTTCGACAGCACGAGTGTGTAAATACATAAGAAACATCAATGCAGAGTCTTTAAAAACCCTCTTTTGTGCGGAACTACTATCTTTGTCGTACTGTCCTTTAATCTGTTTAGGGTGATTTCAGATGACAACAATTTGTTGGCTGCGTCATACAAGGTGTTGTTGAAAGTAAAAAGAACGTGCTTGTTTACAACCCTCTTTCAGTGTCTTTCAATATAAAAGTCTTTACTGCAGACTCACTCATAAAAACAGTCTCTTGTCACATCCAATGACAGTATAATGTAGCTGAAATCACCATCACTAACACACACGCACACCGTTTCTCAATACTAAACACTATAATTAAATACTGCTATTATTTATTTAAAATATTATTTGTTGAATAATAACATTTAATAAACAACAGCCATCATAAAAGTTGCTAGGCAATTCAGTCAAAAGTACAAAGGCAGCACACTGATATAACAGCTTTAAAGTTATATAAAATATAACATTATGAGACTTTACCCTCAATCAAAGCTATTTGCTGTGAAACAAATAATAGATTGAGACAAAAACTGCCCGTTAGATTTAACCAAAATGAATGATATCTCATGTTTAGCCACTACAGAAGCATCAGAGCCAGAGGCAAATTCCAGAAGATCTGGACGAGGTGAGGTTGCTCTCGGCAGGTTCATGAGCGCTGAAGGACCGCTGACGCCCTGGAGCTCACATCTCCGAAAACGTTGAAGCAAATTTGTAAAAAGATGTTATTTTTATTAACAAACCGCATATTTGAAGTCTAAACAACTACATTCTTGCCTAAAAAACTCTTAAAACTACATTCCGTGACACAAAAACTGTATTATTTATAAAATTATAGTGGATTTGGGCGTCAGCTATGAAACACGCCGTGAGAAATACTGCAAGCAGAGTGATACAACGGTGAAATGGTGGCTGTTATCACCAGAATATTGCACTGCTGGAAAATGCTCTCAGCCAATCGGATTCGATGGCCAGAAAGATATATATATATATATACACACACACACACACAACAAGCTAATATGCTAAAAATAAATAAATGGCATAAAAGTAATAACGTATAGTAGTAAATAAAGCGTGGTCCTGATACCTGTACCTTTATCCGCTGCAGCAGGTCTCTGCTGGTTTCTATAGCCGCTGTGTATTTGGAGGCAGTCTGGGCTCTGTGTGTCTTCGGTGTGATACATTCACAGCGTTCAGACGCAGAATCACGATACTTCAGCCCTAGAGCCAGAACAAAACCCGTCCCGATACCGAACAGCCATAAAACCGGGTGTCGGTTGTTGTCGGGTGTGATGACAGGTCTCCTGCCTGTTGAAATCAGTCTCTTCATCAGCTGATCTCTGAACTTCACTCTGGATATCAACAAAGACGCAAAGGGCTCGGATTTCTGAACACTGCATCTACATTGTGTGCCTATGAGACCCCGTGATAAACACAGTAACCGAGACATGACTGCTTTACCACTAATAATAATAACGATAATAATACATGGGGAAAAGGATGAACTAGTTTATATGAAGAGTACAGCCAGAGATCCCGTTTGAACTCCGCAGAAGCAGCGACAGACAGACAGCTGACAACCGGACTAGTTTACAGAATAGAGGTCCGCCATTTTTAAAATGTTATATATATTAATTTTAATATAAGTAATTATATTTAAATTCAATTAAATTATATTTAGCATATTTGTATTAAAATCTCATGATCTGTAACATCTAATGATCTTAAAAATAAACAATCTAAACACAAATGTTTAACGGTTTGAACTTGTTTTACCCAAAAACAATTTTTACGTCTGCCTGCATGTGATTTTTTTTTTTTCCAGAAAATTAGATTTTTTGACCGGATAGTGAAGGGAACTGGAGTGAACAATCAAACTAATCTAAATGTTGATGAGTTAGAACGGATAGTGAAAGAAAAACACGTACTCATTCATGGTACGGGAGAGGGTCTTTTAATATGAAAACTGGAGACTTTGACCAACCAACGGCTGATTGGCTCGTATGACAGTTGTGACTCTGATGTCAGCCAATCAGACGTGCGTATTCTGCTCTTGACAGCAGGCCCCGCCTCAGCGCCGCTGTCAACAACAAACTTCCTTCAATAGACTATGTAGGCGATAGCAGCTGTTATTTGGACATTTTAAGTACAAATATTAATATATATGTCACTTTACACAGCCTACAGGCAGTTTAGTGACGCATAACTCAGTGTTGTGTGTTTATTAACAGGAACGATCAGTTATCATATCGCTTTGCAGTATAAAGGACCGGCGGAACCCACATGCTCATGTTTTCTACACTAGTGAATTCGGTGCACTCCAATCAATCATTACTTTTGTGCGACTGCCCAGACCTTTCATGAGAACAGAGTTTAAACAGCAGCTCACCTTGCCAGAGGCTCTTCATTCTGTGCGTGGATACGCAAGACCGTGTAGAAAATATCATTTGTAAGTCGCTTTAGATAAAAGCATCTGCTCAATGTAAATGTAAAATATGATATAAATGTTTAGATAAGAAAACTAAATAACAATAATATAGAAAAAATATCTACATCTAGAAAAAAAATATTAAATTAAATTTAAAAAATATTTAAATGCTTACATCAGAAGAAAATATTAAAAATATACCATTATTGTAATTATATTACGTTTATATCAGAAGAAAAAAAAATATATAAAAAAGATGAAATTATATTACACAAAATGTTTAAATGCTTAGATAATATATTATTGTAATGATTAGATCACAAGTATATATATATATATATACACACACACATATAATTATACATACGCAACATATATTTATAATTAAGTTCACTATTACCAACAACACAAATGTTGCATCAGTTTGAACAGCAAAGGCTCAAGAAAGACTGGCTGAAATGGTCTGGTTTTGTAATCAAGTGGTTTTAACCGTCTGAACGCATTCGGTTACTTCACGTCCTGCAATGTCACATTCTACACCTTCCAACTGCTTCGACATTACAACTAAAATCTTGTCTCCAGTGAGACATTTATGCAACAGAATAATCACATATGATAATAAAGAATAATCGGTTATCGGTATCGGCCAAAATTTTCATATCGGTGCATCCCTAGTTGTGAAGCAACATCCTCTTAGCAATGAGTGGGAGATGAAAGGCTCTGTAGTGAATATAGTGAGCAATTCAGAGCACAAGTGCACTTGAAGCACTAACAACATCTCAAAGACAGACCCCAGGCTTTAGAAAATGTCAAACGGAGTGGTTTTTTGATATTTATTTTAGCTTTGTACATTTCTGGATGACATACATTTAATACACCTACATTTAAAATGACTAAAATGAATGAGGCACAACCAAATATGATTTCATCATATTTTTCAAATTCAAAACGAGCACATTTTGAACCACATGGTTTTCGGCGTAAGCGAACTCAGCAAAAAAAAAAAAAACGTTGCCTGACATCTCGTAGCAAAACGGGAGGGAAAACAAAAATAAATAAAAGTTGGAGTGTAAAGAAGTCCCTTTAGGGCTAAATATTGGCACAAAGACTGATATCTAAATTAGAAAAAAAAAAGTGTATATATTTAATCATAACCCACTATAAGCTACACACTGCTAGACATCCGCCTTCACAGTAGCACCAGTATACATAGGACAACCTAATCCCACGTACACGATAAAAGAAAAACCTTTCAATTCAACTGGGCTTCAGACTCGACTAGAACCGTTATGTGCATATATTGAAGTGCAATTGTTGCTAACTTTGTTTCACTTGTGCACAACCAGAATAAAACAAACATGTACCATAATATTACATAAAAAATAAAATACAAGGAAAACTAAAGCTTTTGTAACAAATGGCACATGTTACTCAATCTGATAATTGTCAGGATGAAAAAAAAAAAAGACAAAAAAAAAAGACAAAATGCAGACATGTCATGATTACATGAGCAGGATTCACATGTTATTCAGCTCCAATAGAGTCTGTTCCAACATCTGGTTCATATCGAGGGTTTCTTCTTTAGCGTGTGAGAGTTTCTCTGTTAGAACATCAAGTGAAAGACACGTTAATATAAATGCAAAGCATGTAGGCAATAACATGCAGTGGATGCCTTGAGAATTGTCCTGTAGCATACATACTTCACACACTCGGTTCATGCTTTCATAGAAATATCCATAGCAGAGATACATTATATACACACAGTGATATACATGTGTTAATATATAAACATTTAAAGAGTGCTGACTCTTGCATACAGCAAAAGGCATTAGATGACATCCTGATTTAAGTGGTAGCCATCCATTATCCAAATGCTGCCTTCAAGTCCTTCTGGGACGAGTTCGGAAGTTGCAACTGAATGATTTTGGTTTGCAATAAAAAGCATTGATCAATTTCTCTTTCACTGAATAACAACGCTAAGATGTTTATTCTCTTTTTCTTTTTCCGACATAATTCAGAGTAAAGAATAGAATTTATATAATGCACATTAATAAAAAAAATTATAATTGTAATTTTTCAAAATATATTATTATTATTAAATATAAAGTGTGAACAAAGTCAGGAAGGGTTTTCCTTGACAATTAAGAGCACAGGAAATTTGATTTATATAATGTATGGGATTTTTTTTTATAACCTCTCAATCTATATCTATCTATCTATCTATCTATATATACACTTAATTTATTTTAAATTAAGGACTTTTTTTTTTTTACAATGAACAGCAAATCTTTTTTTAAAGAATTTAAATGTATAAATATATAAAATGTATAATGTATTGTTTAAATATTTAATATTTCCTGTATATTAAATTCTACATGTAATACTATAGTTTAAATATTTTAATTAATATTAAATTGTGTGTGTAAATACAAGGATGGCTTTGGATTTTTTCTTGAACAGTTTTTTTGAACAGCAAAGAGAAAAACAATGTAATAAATTAAGTATTTAAAATAAATGTATAATTTATTAAATATTAATTAAATAAAAATTCAATAGTGCACAAAATGCAAAATACCAACAATGTGTTATTTTGTGGTAAATCTCAACTTGTAATCATGATGTTTCCAACATGACTTGAAGGCAGCAAGAGAGTAACTGTTACAAAAACACGTTCCTTGAACCTTCATTCACAACAGCATTCATTTTAGACACCATTTGGTGATAGGAAAAAAAAATAAAGTCCTCTATATTAGTCCTCATTCAAGGCCATTCTTAGCTCGTTAGAGAGAAGGCGGTTTTTCTCGAGTTGTTGGTAGAGATGGTCTACAGGAGCAGAGAGAGAGAGAGAGAGAGAGAGAGAGAGAGAGAGAGAAAAACACAAAAGGA